AAATGACACTGTTTGCTACTTGCCGACGTACTGGCTGAATAGTTAACAGCAGCAATCGTCATCTCCGAGGAGATTTAAATTCTTCTTTTTGGCTGGACCTTTTAAACACCCGCCGCGACTCGACGGCTACACACTAAGCAAGTGGAGTGTCAAATGTGTTTCGCGTAAACTTTTTAAGCAAGTGAGCCCGTGTGGTTTTAATTTATGTAAAGTTTAAACTTTGGCAAATTTCCATTGAAAATACTGGTGTAAATTAAAAACTCAAAATTAGTAGCCTCCCAACAAAACCTCCTACGCACACGTCCTCCTCAGTTTTAAGTCGTCTTCCGCAACTCCTCGGTCTTTCTACCTACTGTGGAACTCTCTTCATCCTAAATTAAGATATCTTCCACCAAGCCTGCGAGAACAGACGCCTTTTTCGGCTTTTGTTTCACTCGCCTGGAAGGTAAACTCAAGACGACTATCTTTTTTTGTTGTTGTTAAAATTTGAGTTCTACGTGATGAATAGGGTGAATTAGAAAATTATGCTTCTTCTTATAAATTATGTAATATATACTGTGAGACACTTGCACAAGTGTTGTAAGGGGCTAAACTATTTTCTATTTGCCATTTAATACATATATTTCTTATTATGCTTCCTCTCTGTTCAGTAATATGACTGTGGAAGTATCCAACCTCCCCTAAAATAGTTGTATCTGTAATAAATGATAACGCTCTTTATTATTATTTTTTTTCTTTTGCCCACTCCTTCTTATCATTTATTGCATTAGAAGAGCACTTACCTCGACCTTAAGCTACTGGGCAATTTATTTTTGGAAAAACCGGTATATAAATAAGTTATTAAATAAATATTTCCATTTTATTGCGAAAGAATATCTGCTAAATTAGAGTTTTTGTGCAATTAATAGCTTTTAAGGCGTTGAAATGCAATGTTGTCCTTCGGTTTTTACGTATTCTCAGCACGCACAATTGCATGGAAGAGATCCAGCACTGATAAAAATACTGCTTTTACCGGACCTGAACACTCTTTTAATATAAGTGAAGCCAAAAGGTGCAATATTAGTATTCCTAAACCCGTTTCTTAAGTAATATTAATAGGGCTTTCCTGACTTAGGAGTCATACCCATTTGGCAAACAATTATATTTCCTTAGTGGCTTTTAAAGCCCAATTTTTGTTTTTCGTAAAACTTACATTTTCTGTAAGTATTCGATCCCGCCATCAAGATATGGCAAATTTTTTTAGTTACATGAGCTATGGTGACTATCAACGTTCTCTCAGACGTCAATTAAAAAAAGTAGGTTAAATCGATCACAGTGGAAAGATTAGAAAATATTC